GCTCAAAAAGTCCGATCCCCTCACTTGTGGCTCGAAATTGGCTGAAAAACCAAGATTTCCCGACTCACACGGGCAGGCCACAGGGCCGTGTGGCTCACCCAGTTGCCCGTGTGAGTCAAAACGCGGCGTATCATTAAGTCGAAATTCAGGCTTCCCACACGGCCAGGGTCGCACGGCCGTGTGGGATTTCCATCCTGCCCGTGTTTGCTCTCGGCGAAAATCACACGGCCACAAATGTGAGTTGCACGGCCGTGTGATGTCCAGGAATGCCCGTGCGGCTTCCTTAGCACTTCGTCCAATCGACCCCAAACTCGCTCCCAAGCCTCCATTCACGTACTAGGACCTGAAATATCACAAACAAGCACAACCTAGCGTGAAATCGGCCTAAAACACGAGAATCAACACCTCAAACGGTGTAAGAACAGGGGTAAAAACATGTGTAATTAATGGTCTATCATTCGTCAAAATAGGTAACCCACATCGGGTTGTAAGAGACATAAAGTGACAAAATGTCATCGTCAAAGTATCGTTTGTCATATTATGTCTTGATGAATTGTTTAAATGACAAATTGGTTTGCCACAATAGAGAACCATAAGCCCTCGCCGATCTGACCAAATGTAATGTTGGTCATAATATAGTGGTCTCGAGATGTGACAATGACATTTCGTCGTACTTGGTGTTTTTAGGCTGCAACCTCTTTCCCTCGGGAGAACAATTATACTCCTTTCCTTGTCTCTTCAAATTGCGCAGTCCATCAAAATCCAAAGGAACCCGACATAAAAATCACCATCAATATTCCAACGACCTCGATCCTTTACCCGTCCTCCACCAATCGGGCCGGCCACTCACCGGCGGGATTTCCGTCATCGTAGTTGTTCCACCAATCGCCCCGTCACCACCGCAGTTCAAAGTTCCCTAATCTCCGAAACCTAAATTTCTTTACGGATTGGAGAGCAAACTCGCTGGTCTTTCTCCCTCCCTCGTTTCCCATAGCAAACTCGCTGGTCTCAAGAATTGGTAAGCGTCGTCCCTCCCTCCCGTGGCTACTGTGTAATGCTAATTTAGCTTAAGACTATTCTGGTGGTTTATCTATCTGAATGAGCTCTTGTGTTTCCTTGTCATTGACTCGGTGGCAGGTGCGGCTTATATCTTCGATCCTTCAACCATCCAGTTGTGCTAATTAGAATAGAGAGAAGGCGCCCCAGGCACTAAGCAAAGGTAAGATTCGATTAATGTCTTCAATTTTTTTGTTTTAATGAAATCGTGTAAGTCAACTGGTTCCTAATGGTTTGTCATATACCCTCTGCAGATCCTTTTCTAGTTCATCTCACACTGTGCTTCCATCTTGACCAACTGCCTATAAAGGGAAGGTCAGTTTCTTTACGCACAGATTGAATGAGTATAAATTGGATTAAGCTTAAGGATAGGTTTTGTGATGAATATCAAAAGGGGGTTTCTGAGTTCATAGGGGCTGCCAGCAAACATGTTGATACGCTAGGTAGAACTAGATGCCCTTGTAAAAGGTGCAATAATCGAAACTTCAAGAAGTTGGAGATTGTCGCAGATGATATAACCAGGAATGGCATGGTGGAGACATATACTACATGGATCCATCATGGTGAGTTGTTTGACTTTGGGAGTACTAGACATCAGCCTAGGCAACCTACAGTTGCGCCTGAGACTGAGGGTTTAGAGGATGACATGGTTGATATGTTAGGGGTTATGATGCGTGCTTCTTCTGGAAATGCTCCTGTCATTGAGGGGTCAACAACACCTAATTATTCTAATCTAACAGACCTCAATGATAAATTGGCTCGGCTAATCCGTGATGCCAATTTGCCATTATACCCTGGATGCAAAGACTTTTCTAGATTATCATTTGTTATGAAATTGCTGAACAATAAACTGGTAACCAACAGTACCGATAAAGCCTTCAACATAAATCTGGACCTAGTCAAGAAAGCTTTACCTGTTGGTGAGACGCTTCCTTCTTCCTTCTATGAAGTTAAGCGGTACATGGAAGATCTTGGTTTCGGTTACACCACTATAGATGCATGTCCAAATCATTGTGTACTCTATAGAGGTCCTCTAGAATCTGCCAAGTCATGTCCCAAATGCAATGAGTCTAGATACATACCTGGGAAACAAAATAATGTAGCCCAAAAGAAAGCTAGGTATTTCCCACTAAAAGATAGGCTGCAAAGATTGTACATGACTAAGGAGGATGCTAAAGACATGAGGTGGCACAAGGACTTGCGTGTCAATGATGATACGTTAAGGCATCCAGCAGATGGAAAAACTTGGAAATGATTCGATGAGGAACATAGTTGGTTTTCAGCAGACCCTAGGAATGTTCGCCTTGCTCTTCTAAGTGATGGGTTCAATCCTTTTGGGAACATGAGCAATAGCTATATCATGTGGCCTGTCGTGTTAACACCGTACAATCTCCCGCCTTGGAAATGTATGACAGAACCTTATTTTATTCTTGTTGTCCTTATACCTGGAGAGAAATCGCTTGGTAATAACATACATGTGTACTTAGAGCCCCTAATAGAAATGTTGAGAGAGTTATGAGAGGATGGGGTCAGTACGTATGACGCACACTCAAACGAAACATTTCGTTTACATGCTCCGTTGTTATGGACAATAAACGATTTCCTCGCATATGGCATGCTATCGGGCTGGAGTACGAAGGGGAGATTAGCCTGTCCTGTATGTAATAGTGAGACATGCTATGAATGTTTGGATTTTAGTCATAAAGAGTGTTACATGGGGCATCGAAGATGGCTGCCAACTGACCATAGGTTGAGAAAAAGTCGGAAATTTGATGGGAAGCATGAACTTAGAGGCAAACCAAGAGTGTTGTCTGGAGATCAACTTTTGCAGCAAATAGATAAGGCCTTTCTCTCTGATGTGGTCGTGAATGATTGTGGGAAAAGGAAAAGGGAAGTTCTGATGATATTCCACATAACTGGAAAATCAAAGCTTCATTTTGGAGTTTGCCATATTGGAAAACTATAGAGTTGAGGCATAATTTAGATGTTATGCATGTTGAAAAAAACATTAGTGAGAATGTGATAGCTACACTACTAAATATCGAGGGTAAGACCAAAGATACAGCCAATGCTAGACGCGATTTGGAAGACATGCGTATTAGGAAAGAGCTACATCTGGTGAGAGACGGTGATAAGTATAAAATGCCTCCCGCTTTATACACCATAAAAACCGCAGAACGAAGGCCATTTTGTGATTCGTTGAGGTCGATCAAATTCCCAGATGCGTATGCATCTAATATATCCCGGTGTGTGACTACTGATGGTCGATCAATCACTGGCATGAAAAGCCATGATCACCATGTCTTCATTCAAGTGTTCTACATTGCGGATGGATGGACACTTGACGAGCATAAACATGGATAGAAAATGGTGTACGGAGGACCCATATGTATTGGCCAGTCAGGCTAAACAAGTGTTCTACATTGCGGATATTAAGAATGGTGGTGCATGGCATATCGTCCACAAGGTATGTCCAAGAAGTTTGTACGATGTTCCCGAGAAGGAGGAAGCGGGACATGGGGATCCAGTGTATGAAAATCAGCCATACCAACAAGATGTGGACATTTTTATTTTAATGTCAGTGAAAGCGACTTAGCGGATTTGAGTCGTGATGACGAGGCACCAACAATCATTACTGAGCCAGTCATACGAGCCAATGATGGACGAGCTGGAGCAGTGGAAGCAAGCGATGAGGAGATAGAGGACGACACTTTAGATGACCATCATTTCACCACGAATGAAACTGAACACCCAAATGGGAATGATCCATCCTTTAGTGACGAGGAAGAAGCATAACAGTACATTAAACCCAGGCGCCCTTTATATGTTTGCAGAATATTTTTTTAAATGGATATGTACCGATTTTTTGGGGGCCATAGTTGTTTTTGAACAATTTTTTTGGGTCTTAGTTTCATTTTTACAGATTTTTGGGTTTATTATATGAAGAATATTGAATATAGCCTTCAAGTTTTATCGATGTTACTTGAGTCTGAAAATGGGGTTTATGTTTTCGTATATGAACCCAGGCAAAACATAAAGCTAGATCGTCTCTGGTTCAATGAATTTTAATGTTTGATTGGGTTTCTGGTGCAGATTTGTAGTGTTTGTGTAGGAGGGAGACTGGGTTTGGTTCAAACATGGTTTATATTGGCTATCTTCTGAGCCCATATGATTAAAGGGATCAAAGCCCTTTCATTCTTTTAGTCGGGCCCGTTTTAAATGAGGTAAGCCAAGCCCTTTTCCCTCTTCTTTGTATTTGCCGAAAGGAGAACCCTAGTTCCCTCTTCTTCGAATCTGCCGACAGTCGCTACCTCTCCTATGGCGATTTCTCTCTGAAACTTCCCCCGCAAAATTGAGACTCATCATTGTTGTGCAGTGTCTTCTCGTCGTTCTAGGTTTGGGGAGTTGTTTGACAGTTAGGCGCTAGTTTCAGAATCGCCATTCAGGTTTGCCGCGACATGATATGCTCTGTTTATGTTGATGCCCTCGATTCTCCGATTTCTTCTTCGTTTGTGATTTGGTTTGTCGATTAGGGTTTGGATTTCTAATGATGCCCTCGATTTTCCGATTCTTCGATTTGTAGTGTTTGTGATTTGGTTTGTCGATTAGGGTTTGGATTTCTAATCGGCGTTGCACCCTTGACCTCCTCTCCTCTTGAGGTCCCTCTGCATACTGCACCTGTTTCTCACTTTCTCCGAAAAGCTGAGGCCCTTGGGTTAATTTCTTTCAAAGCTGCTCTTGTTTGAAATTTCTTCTGTAAAGTGTTGCTTATTACTCTTGTAAGGACTGAAGTCCTGGGTTTTTCGTGATTTGGGATTTGGCCAAATGAGCTTCAATGGAAATAGTAATTATCGGGGAAAAATTTGAGAAATTGTTGGTGTTTGGGAATTTGGGAAATACCTTATAGATATGGATGTATTCCCCAACTCTTTTTCGATGTAGGTATGCCGCCACTGAAGAAGAAGAAGGCTGGTACTGAAAAGGGACTGCTGATCCCGGATTTTTACCGGGCGACATGATCAGGGAGGGTGCGGCCCGAACCTGCTCGGTCCACCGAATCTGTAAGTGGGGGGAGTGGACGTCGAACTGGAGCCTCAGTGAATGAGGATACTCAACGCACAGACACTGTGAATCCAGACGAACCCAATGGCAACGATGATTCGGAGGCAGAAGCATCCAATCATGAGACAGGAGAAGGTAGTAATCCAACTGGATTGGAAGGAGCCCCTGCGGCTAAAAAGAGGGGACTGTCCAAAGGGTACGAGATAATGAAGAGAACCGGAACTGGAGGCAAGATAGATGGAATCTACCTATTGGAGAATGGGCAGTCATTCGTAGGGCCTAATGAGAGCTTGTTGAAGACAGAGTTGGGCGTCGTAACACGCCTGATGGCCCCGATAAGGAAGTACTACTGGTCCAAGTTGACTGAAGCAAACAAGCACCCATTATTCAAGAAGCTAGAGGTAATCTCCGAAAACTCCTAGTTTGGCATGAAGTAGGCTAATCTAGACATATTTTTTTTGCTGCTGTTTGTTTTTTTCGGTCTGTATTTCCTTTTATATATTGCCCAGTAGTTTGGGTTCTGGGAGTGGGACGAGGTAGCAAAGCTTGGTGGCAGCACAGCTTGTTGTTGCCTCATGGGCAAGTCTCCCCTGTTTTCTCCTTTGCGGTTTTGGAGTTTGTAACCCATTTACGTTGATGATTAAATCGTGAATGCAAAGTTGGGGTATTTGTTTTACTTGACTTGGGAAACTACACTATATGTTGGTAAATGAAGTATATACTTGTTGTTTATGTAGGATGAATTTGACATAGACACGGCAGGAGCATATGCAAGGAAGATTATGGAGAAGAGAATGAAGAAGCGGTTCATCAATTACAAGTATGCGATGCACGCTCACTACCTGAAAGACCCTCAAACAGCCAGGACAGACCCTCCAGTGGACATGAACATAGAGGATTGGCATATGCTGTGTGATCACTTTGAGAGTGAAAACTTTCTAGTAAGTAACACATTCTGTTTCATCATCTATTCTTTCATGCGTAACCTTGCCTTACAATAAATGGTTGCTAATGACTTGTATTTGTCATATGCAGAAGCGAAGCCAAATAAATAAAGCCAACAAGAGTAAGCAAGTGTATGCACACACTTCTGGTGCAAAATCGCTTGATCAAAGAATATATGAGTTTGTAAGTGTTCTCGAATTCAAAGACTAATTTATACATTCAAAGAATATATGACTTGGTTTAACTCTGCCTGATTGTGGAACTTCCCTTGTTTCGTGTAGGAGAAGAAAAAGAAGCAAAAGCAGCAGGAGGAGCAGCCTACGCAAGAAGAGCGGGAAACTGATATGGAGGACGCTGATACCGTAGAGGAGGAGCCAATAGATCTCCTATTGTATGCGAAGAGGTATCAGCGGGCTGACGGTAGTTGGGTATCGGAGGAACCGCAGAAGAACTATGTGAGTTCATCCTTTTGTGCCTTGTTTGATTTTCACTGAGTTCATACCAAACCATGTGACATATATCATTACCCATTGTTGTTCAATCCTAGTTGGAGATGCAGTCCATGTGGATAGAGGTAAAGGCAGAGGGGAAGCCTATATCAGGCCGTGACATTGTTGAGAAGGTTCTCAAGAAAAAGGTGAAGTATGGACCGAAGGAGAACCCAAGATCAGCAAAGGAGCTTCAGCTCCAAGCAGAATTGGAGGCAACAAGGGCTGAAGCGGAAAGAAAAGCCAAGAAGTTTGCTGAGAAGATACAGAGTCAGGAGGAGCAGCTAAAAAGCCAGGCTGAGAAGATACAACTTCAGGAAGAAAAGTTAAAGAGCCAGGAGGAGAGGTTTGATACTCAAGCAGAGGAGATGAACCAGATGAAAGCCGCCCAGGACAAGCTACAGCATCAAGTGCTAGTGATTGCTCGCCAATTACCCCGCAAATGAACTCCTAAGTCCAAGGTAACGACATTGCCTTAGTTTGCAGAGGCAGATGAGAATGCAGGCTAGGTGTTATATGTTTTAAGTATGTTAGTTTATGCTTTTGTGAACAAAGTTATCATGCTTTGTGTTGTGGTGAACAAGGAGTTTCATGTGTTGTGTGATGTTGGACTACTTTGAATATTTGTTTATGGTGAACAAGGACTTAGCGGGACATGGGAATGGACATGGATGTAATATGGTAGATGTTTTCCAATATATCTCCATGTTCAGTTTGCGGATAAAATTTCGCATTATGGAATTTGTTAAGCAGGTCAAATGTGACAACAATGGAAAGTTCACATATTATGACAAGTCCATGACGAGCTATATTCGTCATAATAGGAAAAAATGACAAAATATACTCGTCATAATAAGGATTTACGACAAAAGGGCCAAGTCACAATTATAAGTTATGAGAAAATGCGTTCGTCATAATATACTGAAATGACAAAATATATTCGTCAGATACGCATTTATGACAAAGGATATTCGTCACAACATAATTTATGACAAAATAATTTAGTCACAACAATGTGATGGAAGAGTATAAACCCAGTAATATGCCTTCAATTTATGACAAAACATGTTGACAAACTTTTCAGTTTGTCACATTATAAACATTTCCTGACAAAACTCGGATTTGTCATATTAGGATTCTGACAAATTATGAACCTCTCATGACAAATATTATTCGTCACAAAATACTGTTATGACAAACTATGATCGTCTAATATGACCAACTAATTTCTCAAAAGTATCAATATATGACAAAAATAATGACAAAATGTTTTCGTCATATTATCTTTGTTTGTCACAATAGACTAACCAGAACCTCATATGTAACGGAAGTATTTGTGACAAATGTGTTTCAAAAATTTGTCACATTTGACCTATCTTGACGGCGATAAAATAACAAAACTTTGTGACAAACACCTTTGTCATATTAGGGCAAGTATGACAAAATAGGTATCTAATATGACGAAAGAGCCCCGTCATAACAGGCCGAATTTGTTGTAGTGTTAACATATTTTGGTCTCGAAGATTATTAAAAGTGAGTCGTGAAGCCCATTACAAGTACCTGAACCCACTCACTATCTTCTTCCTTGCCAGTCGCCACTATCGTATGCTTCTTCTTACCCACACAGTAAAACCCAAAACCTAGCACGACCCAAAATGCATAGTCAAGGACCACCTTTCAAGACAGGGTGAAGCAAGGATTCCATGTTCGGAGGGGCCATAAAATGTCAAACAAAATAATAAAATATTAAATATGATTTGCTATATGCAAAGTACACGATGCTATTTGGAATCAATCAAGTCACTCAAAATAGCGTTTAACCAAAACGTGTTCACTAATATCTCATTCATTATAAATAACAAGACTACTAACGATAGAGCCATCACTCTTTTTTTTTTTTTTTTGTAGGTTAGTCACTCACTTTATGGCAGAAAAAAACTCATTCAATACCAGCCGTAACGACTATAAGAGTCTGAACCAGATGAATCATATAATCAACGAATCAAAGCCAGTTGACTTCCCAGAGCATTCCAAACCACGATACAGTGGAAGAAAGCTCGGAAGTTGGGAGTTGGTTCTTCTTTATGTCATCACCGACATTGATTCTGCGTCCTCTATTTGGTAAGCTAACGTTTTGGATGTTTTAAGTTAAATCTCTAAAACCATGTTTTTAGTGAAATAGATGCACAATATGATAGATTCACTAAATCATGATGTTTAAAAGCACCAACACAAAAGATATTCAACGGAATTGTCAATCTATAAATTTACTTTCTAAAAAAAACGAGAGAGTAATACTTTTTTTTACAACAAAGGGGGAGCCGATCTTGTCAGTAACTGATGGGTCAGTAACCCATCAGTAACCCATCAGCTGATCTCCACGTGTCAGTCCACTTTTTTTATTTAAATTAAATGCGGAAGGGCAGTAAGGTAAAATGCACTTATCCCCTATTTATTGCTGACGCGCTGACGCGCTGACTTTTGACCGACCACATCAGGACCTCCTTCTCTCTCATCGAAAAACCTTTAATTTTCCTTCTTTTAATCTTTAACGGACGATTTCTCACTCATTTTAAGTCGAAATTTAATTTTTTTTGCACAGTTAGATCAGATTAATTATGCTCTTCAAAATGATATCCACTTTGATATTTTTTTGACACAAATTTTTTTTCCAGTTATTACCACCCGATACCATATGGTATAGTGTGGTAATATCAATATATATTTCGTTACCACCCAATACCATATGGTATAGTGTGGTAATATCAATATATATTTCGTTACCACCCATTACCATATGATATAGTGTGGTAATATCAATATATATTTCGTTACCACCCAATACCATATGGTATAGTGTGGTAATATCACACAATACCATATGGTATAGAGTGGTAATATCAATATATATTTCGTTACCACCCATTACCATATGGTATAGTGTGGTAATATCAATATATATTTCGTTACCACCCAATACCATATGGTATAGTGTGGTAATATCACACAATACCATATGGTATAGAGTGGTAATATCAATATATATTTCGTTACCAACCATTACCATATGGTATAGTGTGGTAATATCAATATATATTTCGTTACCACCCAATACCATATGGTATAGTGTGGTAATATCAATATATATTTCGTTACCACCCAATACCATATGGTATAGTATGGTAATACCATATGATATAGAGTGGTAATACCAATATATATTTCGTTACCACCCAATACCATATGGTATAGAGTGGTAATACCATATGGTATAGAGTGGTAATACCAATATATATTTCGTTACCACTCAATACCATATAGTATAGAGTGGTAATACCATATGATATAGAATGGTAATACCAATATATATTTCGTTACCACATAATACCTTATGGTATAGTGTGGTAATATCAATATATATTACCTAAAAGAAAGGGGGGGAAAACAAAAAGAGAGAGAAAAAAACTTGTCTTCTGTCTCATCTCATTTCATCCGCAACCAAAAAGAACACCAAACGCCAAAAAAAGGAGAAAAATCGAAATTAAAGCTAACGAGTTGATGAAGAGAAAAAACGCAATTAAAGAGGGTGACGTCAATTTTTATTTGTCGATTGCTAGAGAAAAAAATGAAGATGGAATAGAGAAAGAGAAAGGATCTGGAAAAATATTGGAAAAAGGAAGAGAGAAAGAATAAAGTAGAGTTGCAGAGAAATAGAGATTGTGAAAGAAAAAGTAAGAGAGAAGGAAGAGAAAATGAATAAAGTAGCGTTGCAGAGAAAAGGTTATTCTCTTTCTTTGGTTGAAAAGTCAACATTGAAATGCGGAATAAAAAAAAAATTTAAAAATACAAAAGCGGACAAAAATGCCCTTCCCCACCTCTGCGTCCAGCCAACCACACGATTCCTCCATCTCCTAGATCTACGGCTCCCATGTATTTACTGATAGGTCAGTAACCAGTGGTTACTGACCCTATCCCAAACCCAACAAAGGGTAATACTTTCTTCAAAGATTACGTATAATATTAATGTCGACGCCATATTAACATTTAACAAAAAGAAACCTGAAACTAATAAAACAAAACTTCCCACACTAATCTCTAGTAATCAGTTCACAATTCAATAATTAGGCACAAAAGAAAATAAAGAAAACTTAAAAGCAAAAACAAAAACTAACTCTCAAATAGATCACGCTATTGTTTAGCCATGTAAAAAAAATTATTGTAAGGTTACCTGTATTCGAACCCAGACCTCCGGATTGCAAGCCACAATCGACACCAATGCGCCATTAGCTCTTTCGTGTATCATTCATTCCAATGACTAATATTATACGTTTTAGTTTGTTCATAAAATTCAGGGCGCTCATCAACGCTGCACTTTCTTTGCCCCTGTTCCCAGAACCCAGAAATCGACTATTCTTTCCCAAACCCAGAAATCGAACGACCAGGCATCGCCATAAACTCTCCTTCCTACAGTTTCATCGTCCAATTCAATCGGGGGGGGGGGGGGGGGGGGGGGGGGGGGGGGGGGGGGGGGAGAGGCCAGCAGCGATTAGAGAGGATGTCGATTCGGAGATATGCAGGGGGAAGAATCGCACCAGGCAGGAAAGAGAACGAGTGGAAGAGGGAAGCTGGGTTCTTGCTACCAGTCGATTCGTCGTCCGATCCCTGACACCGCTGGGTTCTTGCTACCAGTCGACGACCTTCGATCGCATCCGACGCAGAGTGTCGACTACGGCGGCGGCAGCCAGAATTAAGAACGCACTGCTCTTGAGCGGAGCTGGAGTCACCGCCGGAAGCTTCTTCTATCGCTCCCCAAAAATCAACGATCGGTTTGCCATCTTCTCAACCGGCGTTATTCTTCCTTGTCACCATCGGCCGGCAATGATTCTTCCTTGCCGGCGTTGAGTCCGGCTGCAAGTAGATAGCTTTTTTTTATTAGGCTGGAACTTGGAAGTAGATACGACAGAACGGAAATAAATTAGTAATTTCAAAATAAATTGCAGTGGTAGTGATGACTCGGTATTTGCACATGTTTTCCCCTTTGTTTCTTGATTGTTTGAGCTTGAATTATTCCGTCTTTGGCCTATTTTATGCTAGGTTGTATTACTTTGTCACATTTCAGGTCCTAGCACATAAAGTGAAGCATAGGCGCAAGTTTCAAGTCAATCAGAGATCATTTGACGATTCGAGAGAAGAAACTCGGGCATGACCTGAAGAAGAATGGATTTCTACCTCACTTTATGGACAAAGAATCATGCAAGCTTGTCATGAAAAGAAATAGGACGAGACTACGAGCGTCTGGGATCAAACGGCGAATGATTCGGAGTCCGGACGAGGGAGAAACAAAGCATTAAACAGAGGCTGAGCAAGCCACACGGGCACAACCCACACGGCCGTGTAACCTGGCCATGTGGCCGTGTGGAAATCACCGAGCCTTCACACGGGCAGCTGGGAAAGCCACCCGGCCGTGTGGCCTGGCCGTGTGAGTCGGGAATTGCTGGTTAAAACCTGATTTTCAGGAAAAGGAGAGAGAGAGAGAGCTGGGTTTTGGATCCCAAACACCCAAGGGACGAACCCTAGAGAGAGAGAGCGACTTGGGAACATTCTTGGAGCTATTCTGGAGGATTTCTTCTCCATTGGAGATCGGGAATCAAGCTTGGAGATGGAGATTCAAGATCTAGATCAGATTTCTGCAGTCTCTCTCTTCTCTATGGAGTAACTTCCCTTCACTTAGATTTTGAGGAACCCTAGTTCCATGAGTTAGGATATTTCTTGTATGAAGTTTTGAACGCTATATTGTTTGATTATAATCGAATGATGCATGTTTATTGAGTCAATTGAAGTCTGATCAACTTTTCCTGATTTCTGCTGCAACCTGAGATAGATAGAATCTGATTAGGTTGTTAAAGCCTCATCATTCGGTAGTAGGAGATTGGCTATACGAGAGTTAGCCAGTTTACTGCTTTGTACTGGAATCCAATTCCAATAGTGGAGTTCTGTGCTTATTGCTTCAGCTGTCTATCCCGGTAAAGACTAGTCGTCTGCCGGATAGTTAGACTGAGAGGGCTTGGTCAGCTTAAGAGATTCCAAGCTACTGTCGGATCTTCCGCAGTTTAATCAACAGTAAAACAACCAAAAGGAATTACAACTTGGACCTAATTGAGGAGCTAGGGGGAATCATACCTAAGCGAGTTCCCAAACTGTAATTAGTAGTTTTACTTATTTTAGTTAGTAGAGTAGTTTAGTTAATCAATCCTTAATCTAGTTTGCTAGATAATGAACTGAAGCTGAGTAATAGTAACTCTAGAGACCCGTGGATTCGATATTTATTACTTGTGCCACTATACTGCAATCCCTTTCATTGGTTACACTTGGCCATTGTTAGGTGTTGTGTTTTAGAGCATCAAGTTTTTGGCGCCATTGCCGGGGACTTTCTAGATTATTAGGAAAGGCAGAAGTTTGTTACTTTAGCATTTTTCTTTTATTTTCCACCCTTGCTTTTCACTTGGGTGTTTTTTTTTCTGTTGGTGCAGATTTGAATCATGGATCCTCATGGCTTCTCCAATCATTGGGGGTATCCACCACCATCCGAGTGGTATTACCCCGAGACTCCCTGGAGCAATCAAGAAGGAGAAGACAATGGATTCGGGTTCCAGTACCAACCCCCTTACTATGGAGAACAATCAGACCCCTGGGCATATCAAGAACAACCTCCTTATCAAGAAGACTTTCTCCCACAACCAGAAGGGCCATCAAATCTTGAGTTCACCACAGCCTTCAAGGGCGATCTGGCAGAGCCATGCTACACTCCACAGCCAAATCCAAACTATCACTTGAGGCTTCTCGTGGAGCAGATTGCTCGAGTACCTGAGAGATCCTTTCCCGAGATGGATCCTCATATCCAGGCCATTGTCCAAACTGACTTCTCATTTCCCCGTGAAACAGAGGATACCCTTCGGAGCATAAAGGAGCACATAGAGGTCATTAAGAAAGCCTGTTCACAGTTTTCTCAAGACAAACTTTATGCTGCCATACAAGTAGAGGTGGAGGAAGAAGAAGGAAATCATGAGGATGTTGAGGAGCATACAGAAGTTGTCAAGGAAAGCTCCCATGATAATCATGATCAAGTGTATCCTCTGGTGGTAGATCACAACTTTCCCCATTTTCGCTCTGACATGCTGGGCCCGAGCGAGGAGATGCAAGCTGAACTTATTGAGAACCTTGCATGGCGACTTGCTCTCCAATCAGTTATGGAAGAAGAAGAGAGAGAAAGGGTGAGGAAAGAAGTTGTGGAGGATGAGGAAGAAAGCAAAGAAGAGGTAGTTCTTGATCTTTTCCGAGGAGTGATACCACATGAAGAAGAAAGGGAGGTTGAAGAAGCAATTGGTGTCCAGGCTGAGGATGAAGTTGAGGTGGAAGAGGCTTGCACCGGCCCTATAATACAAGTAATATACCCACCAAACTTCGAGGAACTACTTAGCAAGGACCCATTTGCAGTGTCTCTTTGCCAGACCAAGGCCACATCGACATCGGTCCCTCTTGGTGGACGCGATGGTGGTCAATCGATGTTGTCATATATGGTTTGGGGCAATGAGACGAGAGAAGAGAAGAAGAGGTCTCGAGGATGGAGACTTCATCTGCATCAAGTGCACGAGCTTCCATCACCAGTCATACCACATGCTCGTGACTTGCGACTCCACCTCATTGACGAGAACCTCAACTTCAAGGAGGTTCTAGCATGGACCGAAACTTAGGAGCCATGGTCTGGCTCACGACGTGAAGAAGCGCTTTTTGGGAGGCAACCCAACCAGTCAGTTTGCATTTCTTTCTCTATTTCTCCTCGGTTGAGTCAGTTTTGTTATTTGATTTTAGAGTCAATAACTCAAATTTTGTGAGATTTTGTGTGGTGTTTGCGTTCTGATTACTCTCTCTTCCTGGAATGCACCGCCTGACCCGTCCATCATCATTCACCCTTGATCTGGTAACTTCGTTCTACCCTCCTTATCTTTCCTCCATTGAGGACAATGTCTTGCTTAAGTGTGGGGGGATGTTCGATTATGTATGCGGGTGAATGTTTGGCTGTTTGTGTGCTTGGAGCCTAGTCCACTGTCCAAATTTTTAAATTTGAGGGCTCCAAGTACGTGTTTCCTTGCAAATTGCCTACTCAGTATGCTTTGAATTGACAGTCTCTATAGTAATGTGCAACCTAGGGAGGTAGTGTAGCACTATGGAGGATGTTGAAGTATAAAATTTTTCCTATCTAGCTCTCTGCTGTGTCAGTTGATTTTGTGAATTAGTGGAGCTAAGACCATTGAATTCATGTGGTAATGGTGACTCTGTTTGGATTGTGTTATGGACTCGTGTATCGAACAGGGTGCTCATGTGGAAAATGGGAAGCGGTTGGCCCTCCATGTCAAAATCATAAAATCTTAAACATGGGGTAAGCCCAACGTGTGTGGCACCATTCATTGCACGAAATCGGGTTTTGGAGGAGATTTTAGTGATCCTTAGTGGGGTACTCCTACTAGGTGAAGCTAAGTTGTCTCTATTACAAGTAAAACTTCCACCCGTTGAACGGTTTGCCTACTTGAGGATATGTTTTTAAGGGCATGGATAGAGCTTCCGACCCCCCTTAATTTCATTGACCCTCCACACGAGTTGAGGAAAAGGAGTTAAAAGAAGTACTCTGGCGAGCTCCAGATGTACAGAAATTGCTCTTGCTCGACTAATAAGGGTCGACCGTATAAAAGACTGCAGTTGGAACCCCACCAAATGAAAGAAAAAATGTAAATGAAAGTGAGAAAAAGGGGTTCCAACGGTGAAATGAAGTGAAAGAGCACCCCGGTACAACAAATCCTTGGTTGTGAATGGTGTGAGTCCCTTTATCCATGAACTGACTGTCTTACTTCTACTTTTTCTCATGATCCTGGCTTGAGTCTAGTACTCGCATTGAGAGAGATAGGGAACGTCTTAGAAGACCAGTTGACCTCGTAAGCTGCTATATGATCTAGGAAATCCTCTACCGACGATCGGGGTTGTATGTTGCTATAGAGCTTTGGAGAGCTGCATTGGTTTGAGTTAGGTTTGCTTGGGGACAAGCAAACAGTTAAGTGTGGGGGGATTTGATGACTCGGTATTTGCACATGTTTTCCCCTTTGTTTCTTGATTTTTTGAGCTTGAATTATTGCGTCTTTGGCCAATTTTACGCTAGGTTGTATTCCTTTGTCACATTTCAGATCCTAGCACATAAAGTGAAGCATAGGCGCAAGTTTCAAGTCAATCAGAGATCAATTGATGATTCGAGAGAAGAAACTCGGGCATGACCTGAAGAAGAATGGATTTCTACCTCACTTTATGGAAAAATAATCATGCAAGCTTGTCATGAAAAGAAAGAAGACGAGACTATGAGCGTCTGGGATCAAACGGCGACTGATTCGGAGTCCGGACGAGGGAGAAACGAAGCATTAAACAGAGGCTGGGCAAGCCACACGGGCACAACCCACACGGCCGTGTAACCTGGCCATGTGGCCCTGTGGAAATCACCGAGCCTTCACACGGGCAGCTGGGAAAGCCACCCGGCCGTGTGGCCTGGCCGTGTGAGTCGGGAATTGCTGGTTAAAACCTGATTTTCAGGAAAAGGAGAGAGACCGCTGGGTTTTGGATCCCAAACACCCAAGGGACGAACCCTAGAGAGAGAGAGCGACTTGGGAACATTCTTGGAGCTATTTTGGAGGATTTCTTCGCCATTGGAGCTCGGGAATCAAGTTTAGAGATGGAGATTGAAGATCTAGATCAGATTTCTGCAGTCTCTCTCTTCTCTATGGAGTAACTTCCCTTCACTTAGGTTTTGAGGAACCCTAGTTCCATGAGTTAGGATCTTTCTTGTATGAAGTTTTGAATGCTATATTGTTTGATTATAATCGAATGATGCATGTTTATTGAGTCAATTGAAGTCTGATCAACTTTTCCTGATTTCTGCTGCAACCTGAGATAGATAGAATCTGATTAGGTTGTTAGAGCCTCATCATTCGGTAGTAGGAGATTGGCTATACGAGAGTTAGCCAGTTTACTGCTTTGTACTGGAATCCAATTCCAGTAGTGGAGTTCTGTGCTTATTGCTTCAGCTGTCTATCCCGGTGAAGACTAGTCGTCTGCCGGATAGTTAGACTGAGAGGGCTTGGTCAGCTTAAGAGATTCCAAGCTACTGTCGGATCTTCCGTAGTTTAATCAACAGTAAAACAACCAAAAGGAATTACAGCTTGGACCTAATTGAGGAGCTAGGGGGAATCATACCTAAGCAAGTTCCCAAACTGTAATTAGTAGTTTTACTTATTTTAGTTAGTATAGTATTTAGTTAATCAATCCTTAATCTAGTTTGCTAGATAATGAACTGAAGCTGAGTAATAGTAACTCTAGAGACCTGTGGATTCGATATTTATTACTTGTGCCACTATACTGCAGTCCCTTTCATTGGTTACACTTGGCCATTGTTAGGTGTTGTGTTTTAGAGCATCAGGTAGATTATTGTAAAGTTTGGGTGTTTCAATGTTATAATTTGGAAAAAACAGTACTATAATTTATATGATTGTTAGTTAAATGATTGATTTGAGTAGAATGTATGATAAATATTGATATGTGACTAAAACGTAAACAACAATTAATGAATGTACATAATTGTAATTATATTTATTAATAATAATTAAGTTAATTAAAAATAATTAATAATTAATTAATAGGTGTGAACACAGGCATACGCCATACACCAGGTGTACGCTAGCCTTTGCCATATATATATATTGAGACTACCACACTATACCATATGGTATTGTGTGGTAACGAAATATATTTTTATGGATATCATGTTTTACCAGGTAATACCACATGGTATTGATGGTATTTAGATTTGAAATTTTACTTTTAGAATGTTATACCATATGGTATGGTAAATAGATTTGTAATTTTCAGTAGCATGTTTTACCAGGTAATACCACATGGTATTGTATGGTAATTTTATTTTTAGCAAGTGATAATCATATTCATATTTGTAATTGTTGTCCATAGCACAAAATTATTTAACGAAAAAATCATTATTCAGTTTTTTGAGTTGGAATTAGAGGAGAGATAGTTTGGATGGTTAGATTCATTTTTGTTGTAGAGATAGAGTTAGAGTGTAGACAGCAGATGCATTTCTCTTGCTCTTTTAGTTGTAGATGGGAGAGAGAAGAAATAATATAACTTTTTTTAAATAATAAAACAGAGAGTGGGAGAGAGGGGAACACGCGTGGGACGAGGAGTGGGGTCCGTGTCTGGTCAATAATCAGCGTCAACATTAAATGGGGGTGTGGGCAATTTACCCTAATGTCCCTCTGCATTTAATTTAAATAAAAAGAAAAGACTGACACGTGGGGGCCAGGAGAGGGGGTTACTGATGGGAGGGTTACTGAGGTGATCCACTCCCCTACTTCTCTCCCGTTCCAAGTCTTATTGTCCAATCCCTCTTCGGAAGAGGACAAATAAGATGGGCCAAAAATTCTTCCCCTTGGACTTTAATCACCCATGGTCCAACTTATTCCGCCAGCTCCATGTCTCCAGGCGGACAACATGCTTGGACCGGCCCAATCAATTATTTATTGTGGGCTGATTGGTGGTGTTCCATCAGCAGCTTTCACGATCCTGGTCCAAATAGGTCTTCTTCAGCTTTTCTTGTACTTGTTTTCCCATTTGCCTGTGCTACTACAATCTGCCCGTGCTGCTATTTTTTCCATTTTCTTCACCTAAAACACATAAAAAAAACTCTAACACCGGATGGTAATGGCTTTTCAACCATTCCACAGTCAATTGGCTCTAAAACAAGTATTCTATGTCTCAAACATATCATGAAATAATCACATTAAGCACATGGAATCAATATGTTTTCGACAATTATCATGCCACTTCTCCAAGGCTCGAACTCGAGCGTAGAACTCTTTGTCGTACGTAGGATAGTTGAGGGCAACCCCACTCAACTTCTCGCTGAAGTATGCAATCGGTTTCTTCTCCTGCATCAACATTGCGCCAAATCCCAAACCAGAAGCATCACACTTCACCTCGAATGTCTTATTGAAATTGGGCAACATCAGAATAGGAGCATGCGTGAGCTTGTGTTTGAGCAGCTCGAATGCTCTGGTATGATCCTCTCCCAAATAGAACTTCACGTTCTTCTTGATGATGGATGTCAATTGTGTGGAAATGGTGCTGAAGTTGGGCACAAATCGTCATAGAATCCAGCTAGCCCATGAAAGCTCCGCACCTCATTCACATTGGTAGGAATAGGCCAATCGCGAATCGCTTTCACCTTTTCTTCGTCCACCTTGACTCCATCTGCACTCACCACAAAACCAAGAAAAACAACACTAGAAGTGCAAAACGAGCACTTCTTGAGGTTAGCATATAATTGCTCCTTCCTCAACATCGAACACCTCTTGCAAATGATTGAGATGATCCTCCATGCACTTTGAGTAGATCAGAATGTCATCGAAGTAGACAACCACGAACTTGCCAATGAATGGCCTCAAAACGTGGTTCATCAACCGCATGAACGTGCTAGGAGCATTGGTTAAACCAAAGGGCATCACCATCCATTCGTATAGATCATGCTTGGTCTTAAATGTTCCCCTCGCCCTCTCCTGAAATCTTAACACCTAACCCTTGAGTCTTGACACATTAGAAGGTAGGAGAAATGGGTTCACTTGGTTTTTCAACCTCACCCTTCTGATTGCTCTTTTCCCCTCTGATAAGTTGCTACGTTGACAACAGGTCAACTGCAGAAGCTTTCAAATTATCAGCCGCATCCTTCTGATCGTTCTTTTTCAATTCGGTAGGCTGCTCGCTTGACAACGGGTCACCTGTAGTTGCTTTCGCTACCTCTATAATTGACTTCACTGCAGTACCAATTTCATCTCTAAATGCTCGAAATTATAACTCCATTTTCATAACCCGACCCATTATCTCCTCGTTTCTAGAAGCAACATCACCCATTGCGACTTTAAATTCTTGACTAAGTCGTCAAATATAGCCTCAATGGTACTAAACCGAGCGTCAATACGCTCACAAAGAAGCAGCTCAACCCCATCAGTTTTGTGACATTTCCCGTTTTTTTCTGTCGTTTTCCTGGAGGTGATTTCAAACCTACTTCCTCGGATGATCTTTTCCCCGAATTGCTTGAAACCTATAAATTAATTAAAAAGGGAACCAAATATACCATTAGCATGCTCCAACTCATCA